GTCAAAAATACTTCTTTCAAAAGGCAGAAATGTGAATCTTTAAATTGCGACAAAATATTCCGATGAATTCTTGTGCCGCTGCGGAGCATAACTTCATACATTTTTTTCTGTTTGTGTGTAATTAAATTGGAAACTATGAAGTTTAAAAAAAAAAAAGACTATTTGTTGACATACCTTGGCAGTGTGGGCCTACGAATGACAGGAATGATGCTTCCCTTACCAAAGAATATTTACAAGTATTGTCAGACTATGAAAGAGATTTAGAGTGACACCAAAGTCAGCAAGTGCAGCCATTTCAAAGTGAAACCGTCGACATTCTACATTGAGAGATGTCACTCATGATCCAAAAGTCTGTTCGCCTCACAGGTCTTTTTGTTTTGTTTTGTTTTTGCTCCATTTCCATCCACACCTCATCAAAATGTTGAAGAAGATCCGAGAGGTAAAGAGGAACTTGTGGCTTAAATTTATTGGAATGACCCACTGGCCAAAACCGAAATTCGCTGTCCACTGATGGACATGTGACTGACCCTCAACCGGACAACAAAACGGGACCGGCTGATCTTGTGTCCCACATTCCCCAGAAACCAATACGCCATGCAAAAACTTTCAAGCACAATTACACTGACAATAACATGACAAAACGTAAACACCATTTTGTCACGTGGTATCTGACTGCAAAGACGAATAACGACTTCCTTAAATAAAATGAGTGAAGCCCAAACACAAGGTAGCATCCTGGAAAGACATTTAGATAAATTTGTCAAGCAAGTGGACTTACCCGGCATCACGCTGTCTGTTTGAACAATCACAACAAATGCAAGCCAGTTCACAATCATGATCAGCAGGAATTAATTTTAAAAAACAAAAAGTAAAAAGATGATTTAGTTTTGTTTTAGTCCCACACAGAAAGCCGACACAATAAAATCTAGCTCGGCATGACACGCAGGAAATGAAGGAAAAGGTAAGAGACGTGTGCATGTGCGTGTGTGCATGAAAAGGGAAGAGGCACCTTCAATTATGTCATTACTTGGCACCCGGAAAAAGCCAGAGGTATGAGGGCAAACTACGTCTTGGTTGTTGTACGCGGAAGACAACAGAAAAATTAAACATCCACCCATCAACTTTGTGACGTTTTCTCACTCGCGTTGTCGGCGTGCTGAAGCCGATACCAGCTGACTTCAATGGTACGAAGAAATATATCTATATCGGATCTATACAACCATATTTTATCATGTCAATGTGTCTGACTTGGATTAGTTACATCCATGTCAGCATTCTTCACGGTTTCAAGCATTGCTTTTTACTTTGGTGCCTTCCTTTATGATGAATGTTTTAGGCACCCGAGATGTGCAACAGATTCCTTCAGTTTTTCATTGATAAGTTCTCTACCTGTTACCTGTGACAAAGTGAACGGTCTTAGTGTGTCATCGAAAAAAATGGGTGATTTCTTCTAACATCCATCCATCCATCCATCCATTTTCCAATCGGCTTTCCGCTTTATCCTCACAAGGGTCGCGAGGGTGCCGGAACCTAACCGGCACCCCAGCACAATCACAAGCTGATTGTGCTGCTGTTTGTATATTCAACAAGTTAAGATATTTTTGCACTGAGGAAAGCAATTTTGTGTTGTTCTGAACAAAACAAAAACACAGAAAAAAAGGGGGAGATGTCATATCAGGACAACAGTTGATGTATTTAACTTTATGACAGCAGTTCGACATGCCGTAAAGATCTGCTGTCGTGTTAACACAGCAACCGACCTCTTGCATGTGAAAGAATAACGTGTCGACGTTACCGTTACGCTGGACAGCTCCCAAGCGACAAGTAAAGCACCTCCCTCTGTTAAAGGCAACTCTCTGAGTGGACATTTTTCAATAACATTAGGGGGGGGTTATTTTGTTTTGTTGTTTTGCCCTGCCTCTTTCCCAAATTTAATTTCCCTCATGGGACGAACAAATGATCTATCTGTATACTTTAGCTGCACTGTTGACAATTCTCGCCACCAAAAGAACGAAATCGCCAAGATCACCTTCACGCATCAGCAAGAATTGTGCACGTAGCTCTGACATTATCGTAACAAAGCAATGAAAGTTCTCACGACAAAAAGCAAAAAAAAAAAAAAAATCACTTTTTTTCATGGCGAATTCTAGAAATGATGAAACTGGCATCATGCTGCGCATATATTTGGTGGCATGGGCAAAAACAGCCGAGAAATTCACTGTCGCCCATCTGTTTTAGAATATCTGCTTCCGATCGGGGGTCATTTGAACAATGAGCAACACAGTCAAGTGTGTCTTCTGCACGCAAAACGTCCCATAAATACTGAGCATCCCCCCTGCTCCCCATAAGACAATTCAAGCAGTTTAATGCCACTCCTAGTTTACAGTCAAACTGAACAAAAACATACCTGTCAACTTTTCGGAGCGCGAACCTGTATAAACAACCAAAAAAAATCCTTATAAAGAGCAAAAAATCCTTTTAACATACCAAAGCATTTTATATGTCAAAATAACGGCAGAAAAAAACCCACGAAATATGAATGATATATTTGTTTCCTTGTACAACTTGCTTGTACACTACCGAAGTATGCAATGAATACTCTGCTGTTTTCAACTCGGAACAACGTGATTTACTGGAAAGTTATTGGAAATGAAAGCATTCGAGTAGCCTACCTGTTGGGGGGGGGGGGAACGGAAATTTTCAGAATCCGTATGATTTGTGCGATATGGCCATATACGTAAGATTCACCACAAAATCCGTCTGAAGTATGGCTAAACCGTATGAGTTGACAGGTATGCAAAAAATGAAGAGAATTGCATTTTGTGTGTTTAAAATAAACAAACAACTTTTCTTGAATAAAGGCACTAACAGCCTAAGGCGAACAAATAATAGAAACCGCCATTGTGGGCTGACGATTAGCATGGATAGCTGCTCATCGGTATATATTCTTGATCGTGTCCATGAAACGTCATGGTGTTGCGCCAGCCGCTGTGTCTTGTACCGGCACCTTAAAAAGCACAAAGTCGCACTCGTGAAGCAAAATTCACGGGCCAACTTGATGAGGACAACACAGGTCAATTTGTTCAAAAAATGTTCAAAATTCAAATGAAGAAAAGATTGGACTTACTCGCTGGTGCGTCATCGTCTGAAAGGAAGGACAAGGTGAGATTGAATCGCAGAGAGCGAAGACAGGTGTCTTGGGAAACGACTTGTGTCGCTCACCTGGTTTGCGTGGATGACACTTGATGACGACGACAATGGCCACGAGGACGAGCACCAGAGCGAGGGCTACCAACGAGGCGGCGATGGCAACAGTCCTCCTCTTCTTTTCTTCTTCTTCAGCAAAAGAGGATGAAAAACAGCACGTGAGGAAGAGGAAACCCTCACTTTGCAGCCATTCTATCAAGTGTGATTGGCGTTTGTGATGTGCATCAATTACGGTGAACGTCTGAGGCTGCAAGCTGTTTTGGTGCTTTCGACTGTCTTTGTCATACATTTATTGTTTGTTGTTGTACATCTGACTTTTGCTCCATGTATGGCACTTTGTGCACAGCGGTGGTTGTTTTTAAGTGCTCGAGAAATAGTGTCGAGTTGAGTTCTTCTGGTGAAGATGAAGGAGTGTGGAAGCCGAACGCCAAGAAGTGTGGGCCTCCTCGAACACATGTTCCTCACCTTCAATGCGTGCGTTGCTCAGGATGTTTCCTCTCTCCAGCTTGATGACAATTTCGTCCTGAACACCAGCCAGCTGAAACACGCACTCGTACCGGCCCTCCACTTCAGCCGTCACCTCCACTTTCAGGTTGGCCATCATCTGGAAGGTTCCGTCGTGGTTGGGCAGAGTTTGGCCATAATCCACATCCTCGTGGAGCTGCTCACCGTCTTTCCTCCAGAAAAGGTCGGCCACGTCTGGGTAGAAACCTGTCGCGTGGCAGGTGACCGGAGAGGACGGCATCTTCTGAAGAAGAGACACCTTGGGAAGCTCTGCACAGAAAGTGACATGACCTGAGAGAAGACGGAGGCAATGGATTTTGTTCAAACAGCAAGGCCAGCTACAAATAAAGATGAACCTGTGCTTCCACCTGTTGCCATTCACGCAATAAAATTGGGGGGGGGGGGGTATGTACTGGGATGGAAGCGCTCTAAAAGCACAAGGACAGACGGGGACGGAGGACGATGATTACAGAAATAAGGACGGAGGGCTGATGACGGCAGGGTACCCAGGTCTTGGATGGAGGTCGGAGGACGAACTGGCGAAATAGCATCAAGTGCCTATCTCGGCTTGCAACGGTCAAAGGACATCATGTGATCATTACCTGTTCTCATGAGGACACTCCGCCCGTCGTTCACCAGCTTCTTCAACAAAGAAGGACAATCCTCCATGTAGAAATACTGACGGATGTCTCTTTCAATCTCGTTCAAGACAAACTTGTGTCTGATGGCGAGACCCTGCGGGCCCTCTATGGTCCATGTGAATGTATTCACGTCGAACAACAGGACGTGCTCGTCCTCATATTTAATCTTTTCCCAAGCATCGAGAGCATCGGTCTGGTCATCCCATTCGCAGCCAAACCTCGCCTGCCCAAAGTGGACACCTGAAAGGATGACAAAAGCGTTGGAAGGCAAACGGAAATCTGATCAGCGCCGAAAAAGTCCACGAAAAGTAAAGCGGACCTTCAGATTGGTTCAAAGTTTTTCTCACGGTTTCCAGCAAAGATCTGCCCGAACGCTCAACAATCATGGCGATGGTTCTCTCCCTTTCCCAAAAGTCTGCATCGTCTGCTGTGGCTTCTCTAATCCAGTTATTTCTGGTTTGCAGTATCCTGCTCTTGCTGTCATAGTACATCACAGCAATGTGGTCGACATAAACGACACACACATGGTCTGGTAAGTTGGCAATTCCAGTTGAAGCCGTGATGAATTTCTCCAGTGAGTGGATTGCTGAAAGAAAAAGAAAAAACAAGCAAAGAAACAAAACATCAACATGAGATTCACACATCTGTCTGGATTTCAAAATAAAACAAAAACGCTCGCCATAGTTGAGTTCATGTCACTTTCAAATTCCCGATGCTTGATCTACTTTGTCGAGGATCTTCTTTTGGGCTGACTTTTCTCCAACTCTCCATGAGAGCAGCCAAATTGGTCTGGATGGAATCAATATTGCCAGCGATATCAAGTTGAATGCCTCGAATGGCGCACCAACGAGCTTGCAGAGTCATTTTCTCTGGAGGCGTCAATTGCCGGCTGGTGCGCCACCGTGTCGACGTGCGTGTCAAAAGCACTTGTTTCAAAGACACAAATGTCCCAAAAATGAGATGCCAACAACTTGCCACACACAACAACTCAAGTGGAGCATGAAGTACGAACTTTACACGCATCTTTTAAGTCGCGACTTGAGCACTTGGTGCCTCCGATCACCCTGGCGGCCATCTTGATGTTCAAAATGAAACTTAAATCGACTGTATTTCTTGAAAACAACCACCGCTGTATGCAAAGTGCTGTACATGGAGCAAAAACAGAATTCATACAACAAACAATACGTTCACAAGTAGAGATCACAAAAACAGTCAAACTAAAAATCTCGTCTTCTGCTGAGTCGAAAGCTAAAGATTAAAAAACTGAGTTTTAAAGGTGGTCAACGAGGGAGCTTGCTGAACGTTCATTTCACAATGAAACACGGACACTATTTATTAAACGTGTGGAGAAGTTGCCCGTTTGTTGACATGCGACCTTTGTTGTCAGCCGAGCATTTTGCATCGCCTTGCAATCTCTTTTGTTTGGTTGGTTCCTTTGTTTCCATATCTTGGCAGTGTGGGGCTCGGAATGACAGGAATGATGCTTCCTTTACCAAAGAACATTTACAAGTATTGTCCGACTATGAAAGAGATTTAGAGTGACACCAAAGTGAGCAAGTGCAGCCATTTCAAAGTGAAACCGTCGACATTCTACATTGAGAGATGTCACTCATGATCTAAAAGTCTGTTCGCCTCACAGGTCTTTTTGTTTTGTTTTGTTTTTGCTCCATTTCCATCCACACCTCATCAAAATGTTGAAGAAGATCCGAGAGGTAAAGAGGAACTTGTGGCTTAAATTTATTGGAATGACCCACTGGCCAAAACCGAAATTCGCTGTCCACTGATGGACATGTGACTGACCCTCAACCGGACAACAAAACGGGACCGGCTGATCTTGTGTCCCAGGTTCCCCAGAAACCAATACGCCATGCAAAAACTTTCAAGCACAATTACACTGACGACAATAACATGACAAAACGTAAACACCATTTTGTCACTTGGTATCTGACTGCAAAGACGAATAACGAATTCCTAAAATAAAATGTGTGAAGCCCAAACACAAGGTAGTGGAAAGACATGCAGATAAACTTGTCAAACAAGTGGACTTACCAGGCATCACGCTGTCTGTTTGAACAATCACAACAAATGCAAGCCAGTTCACAATCATGATCAGCAGGAATTAATTTAAAAACATTTTAAAAAAAAGATGATTTTGTTTTGTTTTAGTCCCACACCGAAAGCCAACACAAAAAAATCTAGCTCTGCATGACATGCAGGAAATGCTGGAAAAGGTCGGAGACGTGTGCATGTGTGTGTGTGTGTGTGTGTGTGTGTGTGTGTGTGTGTGTGTGTGTGTGTGTGTCGAGCTCTGCATGAAAAGGGAAGAGACGCCTTCAGTTATGTCATTACTTGGCACTCGGAAAAAGCCACAGGTATGAGGGAAAACTACGTCTTGGTTGTTGTACGCGGAAGACAACAGAAAAACGAAAAGTCCACCCGTCAACTTTGTGGCTGTTTCTTACTCGCGCTGTCGGCGTGCTGAAGCCGATACCAGCTGACTTCAATGGTACAAAGAAATATATCTATATCGGATCGATACAACTATATTTTATCATGTCAATGTGTCTGACTTGGAGAAGTTACAACCATGTCAGCATTCTTCACGGTTTCAAGCATTGCTTTTTACTTTGGTGCCTTCCTATATGATGAATGTTTCAGGCACGACTGGTATATTCGTGCATTTTAACTCACGAAGCTCTGACTGTCGATGGCATGATAAACGATGACTTCTTGTGAAAGAAATGTTCATGGCTCATGTTTTTTACACGAAGAGCTATTCTGACTGTTTAAGTGGCCCAACGTAGTGCTGCTGTGTGGGAAGGGCCGTTAGCCAGAACTTCTCATCGACCTACCGATCACTTTTCATCCTGTTTATCCAGTTCTTTTCCGGGCAACCACAGCTTCGCCCCTGGTACAAACTGACATGTGACACATGGGCGATGAGCACGAGCACTTGACACCAGCGGCGAAATGTCATTAAACGTATCGTTTGTTTTTTACACACCATAATAAACGTTCGGGAAGACGGGCATCGAAGAAAAGGAAGATGATATCAGAGGTACTTTGGGAAAGAGAGTTTCACTTTCACTTTTGACTCAGCACAAGGTGCTTTCAAGGACTGCCAACAAAACGGGAAATCTAATACGTCAGGCAAAAAGAAAAAAAAAAAGGTGTGCAAGGCGCCAAATTCCAGGCCCGCCATTGTAACGAACCAACGGAGACGATGACACTTTCACGGTTGATGTAAAGCAGTTTTTGAAGCCACCACCGAACACGTTGACGGGCTTTTTTGTTGTTTTTTTTTTACCTTTCCTCTCCTGTTAAACAGTCACCATGTTGGAGGTTTATGAGCTGTTCAAAATATTTAGAAGAAAACAAACAAACAAAAAAATCTAATCTTTGTGTTACCTGTGACAAAGTGAACGGTCTTAGAGTGTCATCGAAAAAAATGGATGATTTCTTCGAACATCCATCCATCCATTTTCCGGTTGGCTTTATCCTCACAAGGGTCTACCTCGCCGGCACCCCAGCACAATCACTCGCTGATTGTGTTGCTGTTTGTATATTCAACAAGTTAAGATATTTTTGCGCTGAGGAAAGCAATTTTGTGTTGTTATAAAATGTTATGAACAAAACAACAGAAAAAAAGGGGGACATGTCATGTAAGGACGACAGTATATGCATTGAACTTTACGACAGCAGTTCGACATGCAGTAAAGAGCTGCTATCGGGTTACCATAGCAACCGACCGAGTGCATTTGAAAGAAGAACGTGTCGACGTTACAGTTACGCTGGCCTGTACAGTTCCCAAGCGACAAGTAAAGCACCTCTTTGTTGAAGGCAACTCTCTGAGTGTGTTAAAGGCAACTCTCTGAGTGGACATTTTTCAATAACATTAGGGGGGGGTTATTTTGTTTTGTTGTTTTGCCCTGCCTCTTTCCCAAATTTAATTTCCCTCATGGGACGAACAAATGATCTATCTGTATACTTTAGCTGCACTATTGACAATTCTAGCCACCAAAAGAACTAAATCGCCAAGATCACCTTCACGCATCAGCAAGAATTGTGCACGTAGCTCTGACATTATCGTAACAAAGCAATGAAAGTTCTCACTCCAAAAAAATAAAATAAAAAACAAAAATCACTTTTTTTCACGGCGAATTCTAGAAATGATGAAACTGGCATCACGCTGCGCATATATTTGGTGGCATGGGCAAAAACAGCTGAGAAATTCACTGTCGCCCATCTGTTTGAGAATATCTGCTTCTGATCGGGGGTCATTGGAACAATGAGCAACACAGCCAATCGTGTCTCCTGCATGCAAAACGCCCCAAAGATAGCCTCTGCCAGCTTTTTCTTGATTGTGTATGCAAATTACAAGTAATATATCCGAAAAACACTCCCATCTTCATTTACATACCACGCCCCTGGACGGCCCCAATGGGTCGCCCCTCAGTGCGCCCCTGAAGGCCAAGGCATTCCCCGAGTACCAGCACCCACATCCATAAACCAACAGAAACAAAGACATTTTAACGAGTGGCCTTTCCATGAACTGAGACATCTGTAACCTGGCCCGTGACCCTTTCTGATGATGGAGCGTACCGAGTACTCCCTTTCGCCCAAAGTTTAATCTTCCTTTCCAAGTTGTCAGTTAACATGCGCGTGTGGGTCCCTTTACCTCCAACTGACTCCTGATTCTCTGTGCTTCATTGTGTGCAAGATGTGTGAACACACGCGTTCGAGGTCAATCAAGCATGTAACAAAATGAAACTTTAAAACATGATAACATTGTGTTTGTCTATCCTCGAACACCCCCCCCAAAATAAGACAATTCAGGCTGGTTAATGACACTCATAGTTTACCGTCAAACTCGACAAAAAACGAAGAGAGTTGCATTTTGTGTGTTTAAAAAAAACCCAACTTTTCTTTAAGAAAGACACTGATAGCTGAAGGCTCACAAATAATGGAAACCGCCGTTGTGGCCCAACGATTAGCATGGATAGCTGCTGTGGCCCTTGGAGCAGACCTTGGAGCAACATGTGCAGACAGACATGATCACAAAACCCAGAGGCATAAGTTCTTTATCGTGTCCATGAAACGTTGTCACGGTGTTGCGCCGGCCGCTGTGTTTTGCACCGCTTTTGACCTTTTCGGCGAGCTCGGCACTTCGGCACCTTGAAAAGCACAAAGTCGCACTCGTGAAGTGACATGTGCCACACGAAGCCATTCACGGGCTCAACTTGATGACGACAACACAGGTCAATTCGTTCAAAAAATGTTCAAAATTCAAATGAAGAAAAGATTGGACTTACTCGCTGGTGCGTAATCGTCTGAAAAGAAGGACAAGGTGAGATTGAATGGCAGAGAGCAAAGACTGGTGTCTTTGGAAGCGATTTGTGTGGCTCACCTGGTTTGCGTGGATGACACTTGATGACGACGACGATGGCCACGAGGACGAGCACCAGAGCGACGGCCACCAACGAGGCGGCGATGGCAACAGTCCTCCTCTTCTTTTCTTCTTCTTCAGCAAAAGAGGATGAAAAACAGCACGTGAGGAAGAGGAAACCCTCACTTTGCAGCCATTCTATCAAAGTGTGATCCGATCTACCAAGTGTGATTGGCGTTTGTGATGTGCATCAATTATGGTGAACGTCTGACGCCGTAAGCTGGAGACTTGTGCTTCACATGAGCGTCGGCTGGTCCCTCTCTCTGGAATGACCTCCCACTGAACATTCGGCAAGCCTCCTAGATGCCCATCTTCAAAACCCTCCTCAAAACTCACTTGTATTCTTTGGCCTTCGACTCAGCATGACTTAGATTTGTTGGTTTGACTGTTTGGTGCTTTCTACCATCTTTGTTACCGATTTGTTTTACTGTTTATTGTATATGTTAAATTGCTCCATGTACAGCACTTTGTATGCAGCGATGGCTGGTTGAAAGTGCTCCATAAATACAGTTGAGTTGAGTTGAGTGATTGATATCAAGTGTGTGTCGCTGGCTCCTGACATATTTCAGCGTTCTATTTAAGATCCTGTTATTTGTTTTCAAATCTTGAAATGGCCTGGCCCCACCTTAAACTCTCTGAGCTCCTCCGCCGCTACGCACCTGCCCGGTGCCTCAGCTCTGCCCACCACACACTATTGAAGGCACCGAGAACAAAGCGGAGGCTCCGAGGGGATGGAGCCTTTTCCGTTGCCGCTCCCTCTCTTTGGAAGGAACGTTGGGCAAGCCCCCTCGCCGCATATCTCAAAAACTCGTATTCAAAAAACTGTTTTTTATTCTTTGGCGTTTAACTCAGCATGAGATTTAATTGTTAGATTGACTGTTTGTTTGTTTGTTGTTGTACATTTGAATTTTGCTCGATCCACGGCACTTTGTCTACAGCGGTGGTTGTTTTCAAGTGCTCGAGGAATAAAGTTGAGCTGAGTTCTCCTGGTGAAGATGAAGGAGGTGGCCGAAGGCCAAGAAGTGTGGGCCTCCCCGAACACATGTTCCTCACCTTCAATGCGCGCGTTGCTCAGGATGTTTCCTCTCTCCAGCTTGATGACAATTTCGTCCTGAACACCAGCCGGGTGAAACAAGCACTCGTACTGGCCCTCCACCTCATCCGTCACCTCCAGTTTCAGGTCCACCGTCATCTGGAAGGTTCCGTCGTGGTTGGGCAGAGTTTGGCCATAATCCACGCCCTCGTGGAGCTGCTCGCCGTCTTTCCTCCAGAAAAGGTCGGCCACGTATGGGTAGAAACCTGTCGCGTGGCAGGTGACCGGAGAGGACGGCATCTTCTGAAGAAGAGACACCTTGGGAAGCTCTGCACAGAAAGTGACATGACATGAGATAAGACAGAGGCAATGGATTTTGTTCAACCAGCAAGGCTTGCTTCAAATAAAGATGAACCTGTGCTTCCACCTTTTGCCATTCACACAACAAAATTGGGGGTGGGGGGTATTTACTGGGTAGGAAGCGCTCTAAAAGGACAAGGACAGATGGGGACGGAGGACGATGATTACAGAAATAAGGACGGAGGGCCGATGACGGCAGGGTACCCAGGTCGCGGATGGAGGTCGGAGGACGAAGAGGCAAAATAGAGTCAAGTGCCCATCTCGGCTTGCAACGGTCAAAGGACATCATGTGATCATTACCTGTTCTCATGAGGATGCTCCGCCCATCGTTCACCAGCTTCTTCAAAAAATAATGACAAACCTCCGTGTGGTAATGCTCCGTGAGGTGCCTTTGAATCTCGTTCAAGTCAAACTTGTGTTTGATGGCGAGACCCTGCGGGCCCTCTACGGTCCATGTGAATGTATTCGCTTCCAACAACAGGACGTGCTCGTCCTCATATTTAATCTTTTCCCAAGCATCGAGAGCATCGGTCTGGTCATCCCATTCGCAGCCAAACCTCGCCTGCCCAAAGTGGACACCTGAAAGGATGACAAAAGCGTTGGAAGGCAAACGGAAATCTGATCAGCGCCGAAAAAGTCCACGAAAAGTAAAGCGGACCTTCAGATTGGTTGAAAGTCTTTCTCATGGTTTCCAGCAAAGATCTGCCCAAATCCTCAACAACCATGGCGACGTTTCTCCCCTTTTCCCAAAAGTCTAGCTCGTCTGCTGTGGCTTCTGTCATCCAGTTATTTCTGGCTTCCAGTGTCTTGCTCTTGCTGTCATAGTACATCACAGCAATGTCGTCGACATAAATGATACACACATGGTCTGGTAAGTTGGCAATTCCAGTTGAAACCGTGATGAATTTCTCTATTGAGTGGATTGCTGAAAGAAAAAACAAACAAACAAACAAACAAAACATCAACATGAGATTCAAACATCTATCTGGATTTCAAGAATAAAACAAAAACGCTCGCCATAGTTAAGTTCATGTCACTTTCAAATTCCCGATGCTTGATCCACTTTGCCGAGGATCTTCTTTTGAGCTGACTTTTCTCCAACTCTCCATGAGAGCAGCCAAATTGGTCTGGATGGAATCAATATTGCCAGCGATATCAAGTTGAATGCCTCGAATGGCGCACCAACCAGCTTGCAGTCATTTTCTCCGGAGGCGTCAATTGCCGGCAGGTGCGCCACCGTGTCGGCGTGCGTGTCAAAAATACTTGTTTCAAAGACACAAATGTCCCAAAAATGAGATGCCAACAACTTGCCACACACAACAACTCAAGTGGAGCATGAAGTACGAACTTTACACGCATCTTTTAAGTCGCGACTTGAGCACTTGGTGCCTCCGATCACCCTGGCGGTCATCTTGACGTTCAAAATGAAACACAAGGTAGCATCATGGAAAGACGTGTAGATAAACTTGTCAAGCAAGTGGACTTACCAGGCATCACGCTCTCTATTTCAACAATCACAACAAATGCAAGCCAGTTCACAATCATGATCAGCAGGAATTAATTTTAAAAAACAAAAAGTAAAAAGATGATTTAGTTTTGTTTTAGTCCCACACAGAAAGCCGACACAATAAAATCTAGCTCGGCGTGGCATGCAGGAAATGAAATAAAAAGGTCGGAGACGTGTGCATGTGTGTGTGTTTGTGTCTCTGTGTCTCGAGCTCTGCATGAAAAGGGAAGAGACGCCTTTAGTTGTGTAATTACTTGGCACACAGGTATGAGGGCAAACTGCGTCTTGGTTTTTGTGCGCACGCGGAAGACAACAGAAAAATTAAACATCCACCCATCAACTTTGTGACGTTTTCTCACTCGCGTTGTCGGCGTGCTGAAGCCGATACCAGCTGACTTCAATGGTACAAAGAAATATATCTATGTCGGATCTTTGCAACCATATTTTATCATGTCAATGTGTCCGACTTGGAGAAGTTAAAACCATGTCAGCATTCTTCACGGTTTCAAGCATTGCTTTTTACTTTGATGCCTTCCTATTTGATGAATTTTTGCATTCCAACTCATGATGCCCTGACTGTCGATGGCATGATAAACGATGACGTCTTGTGAAAGAAATGTTCATGGCTAATGTTTGCTATAAATCAAATCAAACATTCCAAGTCTTTTACAATAAGTGCACGTTAAAAGCTTCACAAAAATGGCCCCTGTTTGGCCCTGTGTTTGATGGCCCCTGAAACTTTGAAACATGATAACATTGTGTTTGTCGAACACCCCCCAAAATAAGACAATTCAGGCTGTTTAATGACACTCATAGTTTACCGTCAAACTAGACAAAAAAACTAAGAGAATTGCATTTTGTGTGTTTAAAATAAACAAACAACTTTTCTTTCAGAAAGACACCGATAGCTGAAGGCTCACAAATAATGGAAACCGCCGTTGTGGCCCAACGATTAGCATGGATAGCTGCTGTGGCCCTTGGAGCAGACCTTGGAGCAACATGTGCAGACAGACATGATCACAAAACCCAGAGGCATAAGTTCTTTATCGTGTCCATGAAACGTTGTCACGGTGTTGCGCCGGCCGCTGTGTTTTGCACCGCTTTTGACCTTTTCGGCGAGCTCGGCACTTCGGCACCTTGAAAAGCACAAAGTCGCACTCGTGAAGTGACATGTGCCACACGAAGCCATTCACGGGCTCAACTTGATGACGACAACACAGGTCAATTCGTTCAAAAAATGTTCAAAATTCAAATGAAGAAAAGATTGGACTTACTCGCTGGTGCGTAATCGTCTGAAAAGAAGGACAAGGTGAGATTGAATGGCAGAGAGCGAAGACTGGTGTCTTTGGAAGTGACTTGTGTCGCTCACCTGCTTTGCGTGGATGACACTTGATGACGACGACGATGGCCACGAGGACGAGCACCAGAGCGACGGCCACCAACGAGGCGGCGATGGCAACAGTCCTCCTCTTTTTTTCTTCTTCTTCAGCAAAAGAGGATGAAAAACAGCACGTGAGGAAGAGGAAACCCTCACTTTGCAGCCATTCTATCAAGTGTGATTGGCGTTTGTGATGTGCATCAATTATGGTGAACGTCTGACGCCGTAAGCTGGAGACTTGTGCTTCACATGAGCGTCAGTGGGAAGTCAAGTACAAAAACTTCAGTCTTTCATTGAGATATTGGGATCATAAAAACTGGACAGCAGTGACACCGAGCAACGGGAACCAGGGCACATGAATCACAATCGCTTTTTTTTCCTTTTTCTATTCATTTCACAATGTTCAAGCAACGTCAGCTGGCACTTGGTTGATTTTATTGAATTATTTATGTATACATTTAAAGGTACCACTGTACAAGAATCCCAAATGATTCTTGGACAGGGTGTCTGAGTCGACCCTGAGATAGGGGGAGGAGCTTGATCATCCCAGAGGGACTTTGAGAGGAACTGGCTGAGGTCATTCAGTTCAGCATGCCTCCCGGTCTCCTCTCTGGCGGAGGGACAGACACCAGTGGAGGGACGAGTCTCACAGCTGCTCTGGGAACACCTTGGATGTTCTCCGTTGGATGTGTTTGGTCCCAGTGGCCCTTGCACATCACATCCTGCAGACTTGGGCCCCCAGGCTCCTTATCTAAAGCCGCCAGTCTCCAACTTGGGTCTTAAACTGGACAATGATTGGAAATTGGACCCGCAAATTGGTGGCGTTGGCCAATCCGGCTTCTTTCATCTTCGACAGCTGGCTAAGGTCCAGCCTCTCTTTTCTGAAGAACACTTTGGAACAGTAATTCATGCCTCCGTCACATCTCGGCTACATTACTGTCATGCACTTGACTTTGGAGTCAGCCAAAACTCTGTGAAGCCCCTCCAGTTGGTCCAGAATGCTGCTGCTCATCTCTTGACTGCTACTCGTAAGAGGGAGCACAGAACTCCTACTCTGGCATCCCTTCACTGGCTCCTTATTCATTTGAGCGTACTATTTAAGATCCTGTTATTTGTTTTCAAATCTTGAAATGCCCTGGCCCCACCTTAAACTCTCTGAGCTCCTCCATCCCAACACACCTGCCCGGTGCCTCAGCTCTGCCCACCACACACGATTGGCGGCACCGAGAACTAAGCGGAGGCTCTGAGTGTCACATTTGCATGGTGGTGGTGGACCCCAAAAAGCAGGCAGGAAGGAGGAGCTGGGTGTACTTGAAAGAAGTGTTTTGATAAAACACAGGAAACTAAATCCCAAACAAACAATATCCAAAGTATCAAACAAAAACCATGACTGAAGATAAAACAATGACCAAAACCTGACTGAAACAAACATGACAGTCGCCAAGAGCAAACACACGCGACAATGAGTGCTCGGGCTGGGAGTCCTTTTAAAGCACTAATTACATAATGACCAACAGGTGTGCAGCTGCAGGGAAAGCCCTACAGTGCCACCTGTTGGTCCCAAACCGAATCATGACACCGA